CCATGTTGGAATGTGACCGGTCAACCGCTCTCACGGTCGTCTCACCATCATCTGCATGGATGGTGGATGCCATGATGATGGGATGGTGCGCTCTCTTGATCGCTCCTAGGCGAGCAGAGAGCGCGACACACGAAAGAGCAGAGAAGCAGCCACGCAGGATATTGACCTTTCCTGTTGTCTCGTCGCGACTTTCCTGGGGGCTGAGCTGCCGGACCCAAATTTAGGGGTGGGGTGGGGGCACTGCCAGACCCAGGTCCGGCGACCCTGGGCACCCGCCCGGGCTCAGGCGCCGGCGTAAGCTCATGTATTTGTTGCCTCAAGCTTTGTCGTAAGCTAAAAAAATACAGAGTTAAATATACCAGATGTCCATTAACTTGTGAGGAGGTTTCGGTTAGGTCCATCAACTTTCAAAGTGGCTTTTTGGATCCATAAACTTTGTACGCCGTATCACTTAGGTCCATATCTCTCCACGTTGGCTTCTCGTGCTGATGTGGCATGATGCCGTGGCCATGCGGGCGTGCAGGTGGCTTCCTCCGGCGGCTGCTTGCTGTTTGCTGTTTGCTGTTGCTCCTGCTTGATGCTTGCTGCTTGCTCCTGCTTGCTGCTTGTTGTTGTTGCTCGCCGCCGCGGGCAAGTACCACCACGAGGACGGCGAGGACAGCGACACCAGCACCGACGGCGCGGCAACGACTTCGGACGGCGCCGGGCGAGATGAGGCCACGCAGGGAGGAGTAGCTGCTGCTCAGCCGCGCGCCAAGTTCCCTGTGGACCGACGGCAAAGATGTACGAGGGTGCCTGGCGCCGCGGCCGCGCGTCGGGCCGCGGCAAGTTCTCCTGGACCTCCGGCGCCACCTACGAGGGCGACTTCGCCGGCGGGTACATGCCACGGCCGCTACATCTGGCGCCACGGCCACGAGTACATCGGCACCTGGAGGGCCGGCGACATGCACGCCGATGGCGAGATGTACATCGGCACCTGGTGCGAGGAGGCCGGTGCCGTGCACGCCGACAGCGTCTACTACCCGGCGTCCGGTGGCCCCACCGTGCCCGTGCCCCGCGAGCCCTGCGACCCCATCATGGCGTTGCTCCAGGAGCTGGAGGTGTGCGAGGGCATGAGCCATGGCGCAGCTCACGTCCAGCCGCAACGACGACAGCGCCGAATGCAGGTACACATGTCGGTCCTGAAGCTGGTGCCGCAGCACATGTCGGCCATGAAGATGGTGCCGCCGCACTGCCTGACGGGGCTCGCCGAGGGCCTGAACCTGATCGGGCAGCGCGCCCGCCGAGGATGGAGCTCGCGTTGGCGAGGATGGCCTGCGCGCTCGCTAGAGAGGAGCTCGCGGCGGTCTACCTTTCTCGTGCAGAAACAGCCACGGCCACGGCCAGCACCACGCGCGGCCGCGGGCGCAGTAGGACACCGGCACCGGCAGCAGGAGCAAGAGGCTGGGCTGCTCCGCACCGTCCATTTGCAAGCTAAAGGATGACAATGACAATGAGCACTAGGGAAGCGGGCGAGCTCCCGACGGGAGGATGCGCGGCGAGCCGCCGCCCCGGAAGAAGAGCAATGGCCCAAAGATCATCGACTGCCGACGCCACGCGTAGCGATTGGGCGTGATGCACTCTGCGGAGACGACGAGCGCCAACGTCCGAGCCGCGGGACTGGGACCAGACCAGACAGCGCATGGTGCTCCGGGCTAGGTCCACGGCGACGAAACCGCACGGCGGTGCATCCCATCCCGGAGAGGTTGTAAGCCGCAACGCGTCGTCGCGCATGCCGTCGGCGCGCGCAAGACGATCCGGACGCGAGCGACGGCGCGGGTGGAACGTCTTGACGTTGGACGACCAGCACGCCGACGCGTCATGGGGGCCGAGGCCGAGGCTCGTCTGCTCGCCTCGTGAACAGCTCCGCCACGGTGGCGTGGAAGAAGGCGCCCCATCTCGTCCGAGGCAGTCCCGGTGGGTGGGGCTGTGCTCGCGCCAGCCATGACCGCGATCGCCAGGGAGCTGGTCGCCCACGCTCGCTAGCAGCGGTGCGTGTACGCACGCACGCCGCCGAACGCACGTGCCCCGCCATCGCTAGCAGCCTCGCTGGTCTCGCCGGCGACGGCACGGTCATCGTCGTCGGCGCCATCGATATCGTCGTCGTCACGCATTTAATACGATCGATCAGACGTACATACGCCTTGAAGAAGCCCCGAGCGAGGCTGGTGTGGCACTCGGCCGCAGTCGCCGGCGACGGCGGCGACAGCAACAAAGAAAAGCAGCCGCAGCGGACGGGTCGTTGTCGCCATCATCGGGCGGGTCGTCGTTCAGGCCGGCGCCGATCGACGGCGACGCGACAAGCAACAAAGCAACAGCAAGCAGCAAGCAGCGGGGCGGGCGGGCAGAGCAAGTGGGCGCCGGAGCAAGCAGCAAGCAGGAGCAACAACAAACAGCAAGCAGCCGCCGGAGGAAGCCACCTGCACGCCCGCATGGTCACGGCATCATGCCACATCAGCACGAGAAGCCAATGTGGAGAGGTATGGACCTAAGTGATACGGCGTACAAAGTTTATGGACCTAAAAAGCCACTTTAGAAGTTGATGAACCCAACCAAAACCTCCTCACAAGTTAATAGATCTCTGGTGCATTTAACTAAAAAATACATGGTCTCATGAGCTGCTTTGGTCCGCCCGGGCTCCCTTCGGACGCTGGGTCCGCTACCAGGAGGGGGGGGCAGAGTGGCCTTTAGCCCCCTACCACCATGAATAATGGAGCCCCCTCCCGGTAAGCCCCCTCCTATAAATTTTGGACATAGGTGAAGTAGAAGAAGAAGAAATAAGAGAAAGAAAGAGGAGAAGCGAGGAGGATGAGCCCCGACCCTTCTACATTGCTAAGCCGTGTTCGCCACTCTCTAAGGACGTGATTGCTTGCCCTTGATGAGGCCTAACCAGGCCACTAAGATGCACCCATGTCTTGATTGGTTGTCTGGACTAGCATTTGAGTTTGGCCCGAGCTGTGCAAAAGGCATCCTGTAGCATGTCTCTGGAGATATGAAAACGAAACTCGTTTCTACGTGGCCTGGCCGGCTGGCTCAGTGCCAGAGCATATGCATGCCCGAGCAATGCAGAGCCGACAGAGCAGTGATGCGGGACACAACGCGTGTACGGTGCAACCAATTAGTTTCTCACTATATGACCTTGTTTGTTGGAAGAAATTTGGAGGAATCTGAATAAATCTATGAGAGGATGAAGAGTGTTTTCAGCCTGGAACAGTGGATTCCGGCTGAAAAACTGATCAGGCGAACTGCCCCTGTAGCCTGGCTAGATGCAAACCGGCAAACAGTCAGCTGCAGTTGTATCCGTCGAGCGTGAATAAGAGAGGCCTGGTTCGCTGGGAGGCTGGGACAGGCTAGGCTAAGCAGAACCTTGTGAACCAATCCCTCCTTAAATAAACAACATAAAATATCATACTCATTTTTTAGATAATGGAAGAACAAGGTTAAAAATATCATACATACTTCAGATAAATTTAGCACATATCAACGTATATACGTTCCAATTACAGATAAAAAGATTTTTATCAACAATAACTATACTATATAAAATATAAAACAGCTTCAAGTTGCATTTTTAAGTGGTCAGATAGAATACGTACGGGTCACATATGTTCACATCCGACGATTGAACCCTTTGTTTCTATATACGTACAATGACATTGATAATTAGGACCCTCAACAAGAACTTTTTTCTTTAACAAGAACTTGACAATTGCGCACACACTTGCTTCGAGCCAGCTGTCAGAATCAGATATATCGTTATTGTGACCATTTCACAAAGTGAACTTGTTGACCACTTTATGAAACCGAATTCATTTAAGAAAAGTTTCTAATAAATTAATCCTAAAAAACTATCGACAAAATAATTGATAAAATACTTTGTTTTTTCATAAAGGAGTATAGAAAGGTATTTGTTTCAAAAGGAAACCATGAAAAGTTTTAGATTTACTTCACAAAAAGAGTATAGAATACTCAGGGAACAAATTAGTGGAAACATTTAAAAAAGAATCTTATAAAACCATTTTTTGAAATAAATCTAGATAATGTTTTAAGAATTTATGGAAGCTTTCAACAGAAAACTTCACGCAGATCAAAAAGTAAAAGAGATGAACGATACTTCATCCGTCCTAAATATATAAGGTATCTACACGTTCAAAATTTATTTCAAATCCTAAGAGATTCTAGGTGAACTAATCCTTTCATTCAGACCGAAAAGGCAATCTTCACATGTCTATCACCAATCGAAATATAGAAATCATAGAAGGTTACATATGTCATTTATTTTTACCACAAAGTATATGTTCTAGAGTTACAAGGGGTACCTAGTGTATTAGGATGAAGGGAGTAATACAGCGTCGTTGATGAAGGGAGGAATACGGCGTCCTTCCTTGGCCGCCGGCGGCTACCAACGGAAGTAGAAATTCTACTGTAGAATACACGGACGTACATTGCTACGCGTATATATGTAGTGACATTTGCATTGCAAATACCGTTGAAAATAACATGACATGCTGGCCAAATTAAATGGCTAACGCATTGACTTTTCACCTTACATAGTACCATTTCCATTTTTCTTTTAAATTCGTGCGCAACGAATGTAGGTACTGTAGTGGTACGGGGCACCACAGAACAACACGGTGACGGTACCATATACCAGGAAGGTCGCTAAAAGCTCGGTTCCCAGATTTCCGAGGTCATCCAATGCAAATCCAGCAAATTTTAATCGGTGCCGGGCCTGATCGATTTACCGGCGCTTGGAAGCTCCCTCCCCTATTTAAGCAGCCCCGGGTTGCCAGTTTGCCACCACCCTTCATCGCACGCCCACGGCACAAGGAAAGCAAGCACAAGGGCTTTGCCCCAGGGGCCGGCCAGTGCGCCAATTGTTTCAAAGTCTCCTAGGCTTGGCTAGCTAGCTCACCTGCTGAGACATCCCGCGCGCGCGCCGGCCGGCCAAGCATTTGGACATGGCGTCCGAGCAGCAGCAACACCTCCCTAACGTGCCGAGATGGACGCCGAGCCTGCCGCGGCGCCAGGCCCATGGTGGCGGCGGCGACGCGCACGACGACGACGACGCGGACTCGGCGTTCGGAGGGTCCATGCGCAGCACCGACGGGTCGTCGTTCCCCTTCGGCAGCGGCCGCTCGTTCCCGTTCCCGCTGCCCCAGCCCTCGCTGGAGATCGGCGTGCTGCAGCTGCAGGCGGCGGCGAACGGGACGACGACAGACGGTAGCGGCGTCGACGGCCCTGTGGCCCGCGAGAAGTCGCTGCGCCGGACCGACGAAGGCGTGGTGATATCCTGGGAGGACCTGTGGGTGTCGGCGGCCGGCGGCAAGGTCGGCCGCGTGCCCATCCTCTGCGGCCTCAACGGGTACGCCCGCCCCGGCGAGGTGCTCGCCATCATGGGCCCGTCCGGCTGCGGCAAGTCCACCCTTCTAGATGCTTTGGCAGGTACGTGTACGTACGAACCAACGTGGAGATCATATACACCCACGTGAATCTTATATACCCAAAAAAAATTTATATACACACAGGAAGGCTCGGTTCTAACGTGAGCCAGAAGGGAGACATTCTGATCAACGGCCGGAGGCAGAAGCTAGCCTACGGGACATCTGTAAGCGCATGATGAGATCGCGCCACGTGGCGTGTGCGTATGTACACCAATATAATGCATATACTGACGGATACGCATGTACGTACACTGCATATACAGGCGTACGTGACGCAGGACGACGTCCTGATGACGACGCTGACGGTGCGGGAGGCGGTGCACTACTCGGCGCAGCTGCAGCTGCCGAGCGCGATGCCGGCGTCCGCCAAGCGCGAGCGCGCGGAGGAGACGCTGCGGGAGATGGGCCTGGAGGCGGCCGCGGACACCCGGATCGGCGGGTGGATGCACAAGGGCATCAGCGGCGGGCAGCGCCGCCGCGTGAGCATCTGCATGGAGATCCTCACCCGCCCGGCGCTGCTGTTCCTGGACGAGCCCACCAGCGGCCTCGACAGCGCCGCCTCGTACCACGTGGTCAACCGCATCGCGCGCCTCGCGCGGCGGGAAGGCATGACCGTGGTCGCCGCCGTGCACCAGCCCAGCACCGAGGTGTACGGCCTCTTCCACGGCCTCTGCCTCCTCGCCTACGGCAGGACCGTCTTCTTCTTCGGCCCCGCCGCCGAGACCAACCAGGTACGTAATAATTAATTAACACTTGTAAGTATTATTACAGTATTATATTAGAATTAAAACGTATTGATTGCATATATTATATAATATATCGAAAGGAAACGGCGGCTGAGTGCGTCAGTTGTTTAGAAGAAAAAAAATATCCTCGTGATGGAGTAGTTTGGATTGGAGTATGTCTATTGGCTGCCTGCCTGGCTGACAGACGACGTACGCGTTTGGACATGCATCGTAGACTTGTAGTAGCTAAGCTAGATGGTACGCGGTTTCGCACCTGGAACTTGCAAAGCTTCAACTGTCTGTCCTTGCGGGTTGAACTTGGTAGGCATTCACTCGTCTGTTGGAAGGAGACCGCTATAGAAAAATACGGCCATATGGCCCTTGAAGAACAGCCATATGGCCTCTGCCTCTGCCTCTGCGCGACGCTAGCTGGAAGCTGGAGCTCGTGCCACCACCTCCCTCCCGCCTGCCCCCATCCCCGGCGCCCGCCGCTGCCTGCCTGCCTCCGACCACCCATGCGCAGCGCTCCTTCTAAAGTCCGGCTGGGATGGAAATCGCCAATCGCCATTCTCTAAATCCTGAACCCGGCAGCTAAAGTGAACTTTGACTGAAATCCTACCCAGGCCTTGTTTAAATGATGGTCGGGAATCAACACTGTAGCACTTTCGTTTGTATTTGATAATTATTGTTCAATCATGATGTAACTGGGCTCAAAAGATTCGATTCGTAATTTACAATCAAACTATATAATTAGTTATTTTTTTATCTACATTTAATACTCCATGCATATGTCCAAAGATTTGATGTGATGAAAAGAGAGTGAAAAAACTTGAATCTAAACAAGGCCCCGTTCAGCAATGCTAACCCGGATGCCAATCACGGGAACATTCGCTTTGGTAGGAACAAATTTATGGCTACCTATGCCTTCGTCAACAGAAGCAAGGATGAAATTTATTGCGCTCCGACAGTGACCCAACTGGTTCGGCGTGTGAACTTGTTTCAATGAGTCAGCTTGTTGTGCCTGTTGTGAAGGAATAATAATTAATAATGCTCCCACGACGTAATGCCAACAGAAAGGACACAGTTGCAGAACCTATCCAAATTCATCACATTACAGTTGTAAATTTCGTTTGACTTGAGGCTCCTGCAAGTTTAAAAAAACAGCCATTGCTAACCCAGTCGACGGAAAACAGACAGCCTCTCAGCCTTGGTTTGGCCGTCGTTTCCCGATAGATCACACGGCGCTTGCAGATCGAATCATCTCTGCCTCTGCGCGATGCTAGCTAGATGGAAGCTGGAGCCCGTGCCACCACCTCCCTCCCCCCGTCTATGCTCTAATCCCCGGCGGCCGGCGCTGCCTCCGACCACCCACAGCGCTCCTTCTAAAGTCCGGCCGTGATGGAAAATCGCCAATCGATCGCCATCCCCTAAATCCTAAACCCGGCAGCTAAAATGAACTCGCTAACCCCGGCTGCTAGGGTTCAAAATTTCGGCGAAGTTGCACGAATTTCCGTAATTTCTGTGGTGGACGAAAGAAAAATCTAAAATTTTGTAATATACTATACATGTGGTATATGACTCTGGACTTATATTTTCTATTGTTCATGTTGCGTATATATTCTTCTAGTCCATAGATGTGTAGTTATAAATCATGCTAATATTTATTTAGATCTTAATGTTTTTAGAAAAAAACATACTTTATCTAAAAAATTTCGGTGAAATTCCGAACAAATTTCGCAAAATTCGGTAGTTTAGGGGTGTCTGAATTTTTTCAATACCGAAACTGAAAACCATTTTTTTTAATGGGTGCTGTCCGTTTTGAGGCGATGGACATGCAGGAAGCGTGTAGAAATATGCTGAAATTTGGTTTATACTGATTCTTATGCTGAAATGTTGTGAGAGAAAAACATTATTCTATAGCTGAAAATAGTGCTGAATAAGCCCAAGCGAACAGGACGAGTATATGGATTTAATCACGGGAACATTCGTTTTGGTATGAACAAATTTATGGCTAGCTCTGCTTTCGTCAACAGAAGGAAGGATCAAATTTATTTCGCTCAGACAGTGACCCAACTGGTTAGGCGTGTGGACTTGTTGCCAATCAGCCTGTTCGCTGGTTGGTTTCTGGACTGATAAACTCGGCTAGTGCTAGTTTGTTATAAAAGAAAAATATTGTACCCTAATTGATAAGCTCTGCCTGAAACCAATAAACGAACAGGCCGAATGAGTCAGCTCTTGTGTCTGAATAATAATGCTCCTACGACGTTAATGCCAACAGCAGTGACACAGTTGCAGAACATATCCAAACAGTAGTAGTTTCACTGCGTCTGATCCGCCACTAATAACTTCGTTTGACTTGAGGCTCCTGCTAAACTCTGCTGCTCCGGTGGCAGCATCACGCTGATCAGTGACATCAGCTTGACGATATTTAATTTCTGAGAAAAATCATACTGCAGATAACTCTGCATATATAGATATAGTGATGATTACAAGTGGGTCCTGTTCGTTTGGCTGATAAGCCATGGCTGAAAATACTGTTGGCTGATTTGTTGTTAGAGAAAAATACTATTCATTGGCTAAAAAAATACGGCTTATAAGTCAACCCAACAGGGCGAGTGTATTACACTGTATTAGGTAAACAACTGTGCAAGACAAGTCCGCATACAACAAAGTTAGTTTCGGCGTGACTAGACCAGGAGGAATTAGTCATCACCTCCTTGAATAATAGCCTTCTCGTTGAGAAACTTTCAAGGGAAGCTCTATAAGTTCCAAATTGACCAGTCGGTTTCGAATAGGGAGGGCCAAGACATTATTAGCAGGAAAACACGCGTCTTCGCAAGGTAGGAGTAGCTGCGAACTAAGAACCAAGGAAATTGACTTTCATGAACTGCTAGTGGTCAATGATTGAAAGATACTTGTTCAAATTAAATAACTTCAGATGATGATTACAGATTTGCTATCTCACAACCCCTTATTTCGTTGGCCTCCAACAACCGGATTTCTGAGCGTCCGATGATCCGATCCGACGCTTGCGTGCGTGCAGCGCAGTTTGACCACCACGCAAAGCGCGCGCGGGCAGCAGCTCCGCTCCAGCTAGTAGCTTTGGTAGATTAGTTCCGGTCAAAAGCTAGCTAGTACGTGTAGCACTCGTCAACCGCCACGGAAAAGCGCGATATTATCGATATCCACCGAGTGATCGCAGGACAGTGCTAGCTACATGTGTGCTCTGGTTCTGCCGCTTGAAGACGAGATCTGCTATCTGTTGTTCCATTTGTATTTGATAACATTTGTGAATAATTTGATATATATTTCTCTGATGTCTGAAATTTATAGAAATAATTTATAATTTGTTTTAAAAAAATTAGCATATATTTGTGTTATTCCCAACTTACATCACTCTATCCAATATATTACATTAAAGAAATCATTGTAAATATAGTAACAAGGCGATGTAAATATAGCTATAAGACAGTGTAAGTGTAGAAAAAAATCTGGTTGTTGGAAGAAGCTAAAACAACCAGTTATTGGCTAGAAAGATTCGATAATTATCATGACTTGTTTATTTTGTATGCACCAAAATATTAAGCCATGCATCGTCTCGTCTGAAACCTCAGTTGATTTTCAGGACTTGGAATACAAAACTCATACTGGCAGAATAGTAGTTCTTATTAATTAAGACATACTAGGTGCCACTTTGAGATTACAAATTACTCAGCTTGCATTTAATTTTTTGCAGTTCTTTGCTCTGAGTGGATTCCCCTGTCCATCACTGATGAACCCTTCTGACCACTTCCTGAGGACCATCAACAAGGACTTCGACAAGGTGAACACATCACACGACTTCTAGTTCTAGCTAGGGATTAGTATCTGAAAGCTTCTCTTTGCATACACACTCACTTGCCCACGCATGTACGCCTTGTGTTCATCAGGATATCGAAGAAGGCCTGAACGGAGAGGTCAAAATGACCACTGCTGAAGCAATTGACACGCTGGTGAACTCGTACGAGGCCTCAGCCTACATGGAAAAAGTGACGAGGCAGATAGCCGACATACGCGAAATTGTAAGTCATACATCACATTAATTCTGCATTACACAAACGAATTGAAGAATGTGCATGAGGGCAGGAGTTTACATTGCCAAGCCCTGCATGTTGCACATTTGCTGCACCGTCAGAGCTAGCCCAAATTTACAAGTTTATTTCCTTTTCGCAGGGAGGGGCAGTGGTGAAGAAGGAATGGCAGACGAGTTTCCTGACGCAATCCTTGGTGCTCACCAAGAGGTCCTTCGTGAACATGTACAGGGACCTGGGCTACTACTGGCTGCGCTTCGCCATTTACATCATGCTGTGCCTTTGCGTCGGCACCGTTTTCTACGACATCGGCCACAGCTATGGATCCATCCTGGTGAGTAAACTATATGAATAAATGTTCATCACTGTAATTCTGCATGCATGGCTTATTGTGCGGTGCTCACCCCGACAAAAACAACTGCTGGATCTGCAGGCTCGTGGCTCCTTGCTCAATTTCGTCGCCGCTTTCCTCACCTTCATGGCCATCGGCGGCTTCCCGTCGTTCGTCGAGGACATGAAGATCTTCGGGCGGGAGAGGCTGAACGGGCACTACGGCGCGGCGTCCTTCACGATCGCCAACACGGTGTCCGCGGCGCCGTACCTGGCGCTCATCTCCGTGGTGCCGGGCGCCATCGCCTACTACCTGGTGGGCCTCCAGAGCAGCTTCGGCCACTTCGCCTACTTCGCGCTGGTGCTCTTCACCACCATGATGGTGGTGGAGGGGCTCATGATGATCGTGGCCAGCGCGGTGCCGGACTTCCTCATGGGCATCATCACCGGCGCCGGCATCCAGGGCGTCATGATGCTCAACGGCGGCTTCTTCCGCCTCCCCAACGACCTGCCCAAGCCCTTCTGGCGCTACCCCATGTACTACGTCGCGTTCCACAAGTACGCCAACCAGGGGCTGTACAAGAACGAGTTCCTGGGCCTCACCTTCCCCAACAACCAGGCCGGCGGTACCGCCACCATCTCCGGCGGGCAGATCTTGACGGACTTCTGGCAGGTGGAGATGGGGTACAGCAAGTGGGTCGACCTCGCCATCCTGTGTGGGATGGTCGTGCTCTACAGGGTGCTCTTCTTGGCCATAGTGAAGCTCACTGAGAAGGTGAAACCCATGATCAAGGGATTCAGGTTCAGGAACACCGCGCCGTCCGTGCACGTAGCCGACAAGGGCTCCGGCAGTCCATGAATCCACGCCAAGGCCGATCGACGGCACGGTACCAATCAACCGTAGATGTGCGATATGTATAGCTAGTGAAGACCTAGTACTGCAATTGATATGCAAGCGAAGTACGTGCAATCTTGTCATCTTCTCATTGGCAACGAGGGCCATGTTCCAAGCTTGCGTAGTTTTGGGCTGTTTATTCCCGGCATGATGGAATGGGTTTATGATACTTTATTCCCCGTTTTATAGAAGCTTGAAGTATGTAGTGCACATATGCTTGCTTATAGTATTTGTTTGTTCTTTTTGCCTATATTTAATTCCAATTTTCCATGGCCGACTACATATACATGCCATTTTAAATACAGGATAACGGGAGAAATCCATTATCGGACATGAGTTTGTTTTTGGCAACCCAACTAAAAAACCCAGAACCAGCTTTAACCACTGAACTGTCAATACTATATAGTATACAAATTGGCCTTCTCTCTAGTTTTGTATTTTCTAAAAGTAATAAAAACTTGTTTACACGTTGCAATATTAAACCTAGAGATCGACCAAGAAAAATTCATACTCTAAATAGAGTACTAAATATGTTGGATTTAAATTAACCAAATTATTTTTGGAGAGCTAGTGATGTCATACTAATGATAAAGAGATTCAAGTGAGCGATCTAGTTCTTCAATGAATCTAGTTCACCAAAGACAAGCATAAACTCTCACCTACGTGGGGAAGCTCATACATAGTACCTGCATAGAACATTGAGCTTATAGACTAGAGTGTGAAGACGACACGTGATCAACAATGCATAGAACATTGAGCAAACTACATCGCTTTTTATTGTAAAATTTTGTACTTGCATGTCTTTCATAGAGTGTGTCTAGGGAACAATTGAGTGTTTTAAGGGCAATTGTCCCTCGTTTTTGTGGCCCTTAGATATAAAATAGAGGACCCAGATCAAATATCCCTCAATCTTATCTTGTTCCTCTGCCCGCACTAGCCTGACCACGGCTCTGAATGCTCCACTCGCCCCCGCCGCCTCCATGCTTGGCTCCGGCGGCTCCCTCGTAGCTGGATCTGCCACTGTCCATCACATCCTGCCACTAAAAACCATGTGCCTCTTCCTTGCTACCTTCTTCATCTCCGACTGAGCTCTTCCCTCTGCCCCCTTTCTGTCAATCCATTTACTCAGTGATCTCTATCTGGTTGTGATAGATTTATCAATTACTATGTATATCCTCACTTGTGTCACACGTTTGTGTCTCTTCAATAAGTGTTATATGGTGAGCTCATAGCTTAAGTTAAATCGGCTCATGTTATGGCCCATGTAGTTTAGAATTAAAATGAGTGATGGTTGTCCTTACAAGTTTCGATCTTATTAGTCGTTGCAACTATTTTATCCATACTACTTTAAATGAAACTCTAGTACTTATATTCAAAACTCTCCTTTTGTCTCATATTAGAAGAATGGATTCTAGGTCCTATACTTCAGCCTTAGTTGTTATAGTGGTATAAACAATATGGAAATGTGAGTAATCTAGATATAAGTTTAGGGGATAATTTAGACTCTCTCATAATGACATAGATGGTAATTTAAACTAAGTCAGGGATTGTTTTAGTTTATATTTTTTAATGCTACATATGGGTAATTTAGATATATATAGATTTAAGGGGATGTTGGTTTAAATTATTTTCATACTTGTAGATTTTAGGGGTTACTTTATGTTATTATTGATAATGGCAAACTTTTAAAATACATATTCGATTCGATGGCTACTACTGTAGATATGATTAGAAATACATTGAATCGATGGCTGATGTTTCTATTTTTGGAAGAATTTTTAAGAATTATATTTCTTTTTTCTGTTGCATCTCCTGAAAATTAACATGTAGACTTCGTTGGGACCCTCTATTAGTAGTAAGATGTTAATCAAAGCAACTATGTTGTAAACTGAATGTAGCTTAGTTATGTGGTTAGGTCACAGTGATGGAATCTGTTCCGCAAGGTTTAAATCTTTGACTCGTATTTTTTTTGGGAACAATCTTCGACTCGGTATAGAAGCACATATTTATGGATAATTATTTTTCTATAATAGGTGCAACATATATAACCATCCATAACGAGACACATGTTATATTGACTTATTAATGCCACGGAAATGTTCGTAAGTTGGTTCGGAAAAAGAAAAGAAGGTGCTCACGTCTACCAAGTTTGAATTTGGGTGCTGCTCTGGTCATGGACAGCATTCCAAATTGTACCCGTGTACTGGTTGCCAATGATTTGGCGTCTGCCTAATGGAGATTCTTCCATGTTAAAAAAAAGTAGAAGAGACAGGCAGCCTGTTCGGTAGGCCTGAATTGGCTGGCTGGTGCTGGGGCTGGACCAGTCAGCCCATTCTAGCCACCAGCCATTCCCAGCAGCTGGTTATCATGCTGATTTCAAAATTTCAAATTCAAATTGAATATTGGCGCCAACAACAGGTGGGTTTCATGTAATGACGCCAAATCACAGTGCACGTAAGGTTGTTTACAACACATTTGCAATCCAAAATTCGCAGTTAAATAAGTTACATGTTCAACCAATAATTTACAGTCCATTTGTTCCATCCATACAACACACATACAACTTAGCTAGGTCAAATGACAGGCACAAGTCATATGTTTGCTTGCACAATCTAACTACATTCACTACAAAATGCCTCATCTCCATCAAAAGCAAAATGTCATCTGTTGGCTTCCTGGTGACAGCATCATGTACACCATCCAAGGCCTGCATATATATATATAGGAAAACAAAAGAAAAAGATACTCCGAGTCAATTGATTTGTTTCCCCCACTCCAGATTGATTGTTTAAATCTCACATTACAAAATCAAGTAGTTCTGAGTATATTATTAAGGATTGAGTCACATACCACAGGTCGAGGCTTTACAGCTTCGAAGCTACGGAAAACGGGAGTAGCAAAATCAAGTGGATTAAGGACACTATATGCTCCATGATTGTTATGTCGTTCCTATGTAGCCTATACCAGGTCTAGAAACAAAGAGTTAACACCATATTATTATTACCATAATATGCAAAGGATACAAAAAAAGGCAGAACTTATATATTAGTCAAAAAGTTTTAGAAGCTGAATAAATCTCTTACAGAACTTGCAACAATAAGCCAAGAAGGGATTCAATATCGAAGATGGAAGCAAAAATTATCACCTGAAACTGTGGGTAGTCTGGTGCATTGAAGAGAGTAATTAGTTTCCCACATTCTACTTCATGATTAATTGTATATCCATTATCCATTCCTAAGAGATCATGTCGCTTGTCTCTTGCATCTGGACCTTCATGTGGCCTGTTGATTAACTTTGTTGAATGAAAAGATGAAGTAAGCATGTGAACTTAAAACAAATACAGTTCTACCATGATGCTAACTTTCAAATATTATGGAACTAAAATACTCCTGACCCTACCATTGCAATTCTACCAGCTGTGACAGGTTCACATGTTTGAGGTGTAATCAACATGTTTGAGGTTCAAATGTTGGGCCTGATTTCTCAAGAGAGGCAGCCACGCAGGCAAAGTTGTACTATCCCCAGAATGATTGATAACACCTGAAAAACTGAATATGTTAACAGAGGGTCACTCATGCTCAAAAGTCTAGTTTTTCCTGCAGAAAGTACAATTTTGATGATGCAGCTACTCAAATTAAACAGAAACATATGGGAAGCAAAATTTGGAATCCCCCCAGAACAGGATGCCAGCACCTGATTTCATTTAGAAAAATGATTATTATCACTTTTAAACAAATAAGGTACAATCATTGCACCAGTCATGTTTGCTTGTTTCTCAAACAATCTTAAGAAAGCATATACTAGAAGCGATTTGTTTCTAAGCATTCTTCAAAGGCAGAATGTTCAAACCCCACGACACTAAGTTGCACATACTAGTGTCGAGTGTCTTCTAACTCCATTCACAAGAACTTGTACAACATTTACTAGTCATATGCAACGTAGAATTATACAATAATGAACAATTGCCTTTTACTGCAGTGGAGATACAGCATAATCTAACCTGAGCAGCCACCACTGAGAGGCCTACCCATTCACATATCTCAAAATTTGATCTCACAAAGTTCTTCAAATCCTCAAACTTGCCTGATGGGTCAGCGGGGAAATTCTGAAGGTTTTGAGAATTATCAAATACTCTGTCAGGACATAAAATAGCTTAGTATACTAACAGTTATCTAACTTCAAGGACATACAGTACCAACTGAAGCACCAGGGAACCATGTGACTGATCCTACTCCTGATCCTACCATTGCAATTCTACCAGCAGTGACAGGTTCACATGTTTGAGGTGTAATCAACTATGCAAAGAAAAGCTTAATATACTAACAGTTATCTAATTTTAATTTTGAGGTGCTAATGTTTGAGGAGTAATTACCTACCACAATTCAGTACTGTAAACAGTAGGCAAATATATAGAAAGTAGATGCATTACCTCAACTTTCCTAAATCAGATACCACTCCATACAACCATAGATATCAACTCCCTAACTCAAGAGGTTGAGGTTCCCCGATTTAGCTCAACCCACTCCGGCAGCTCATACGAAGGTGGATCAGCTCCGTACTTAAGCATCCACAAGTAATTTTCTAAAGTAAAGCATGAAATGATTATCATAGTCTGCTTCTTCCTCTTGCAGTACGGCACCCCATTCAGAATATGCCAATGTTCTTTCAAGCCCCCAAACATCCTTTCAAAGACATTTCGCAACTTCGCATGAATGTAGTTGAATTTTTCCTCCCGCTGCAACCGATGAAACTCTACGCCCCTAAAATCGTTCATATGATACCTTGTGTTTCTGAAGGGAATCATGTAACCTGGCATGTCCATGTAACCCACGTCCGCTAGGTAGTACTGGCATACAAGATATGACAACAGATGACCAATTAGTCCTGTCAACACTGATAGAAACGTTGTGATTTTTCAGATCAGAATATAACTAGTTTTCAAATACTTCCTTTAGTCTATAAAT